TTTGGTACTGGGGATTGAACTCAGGGGCACTTGACCCACTGAGCCATATTCCTAGCCCTATTTTGTATTTTATTTAGAGGCAGGGTCTCACTGAGTTGCTTAGTGCCTCACTTTTGCTGAGGCTGGCTTTGGAATCCTGCCTCAGTCTCCTGAGACACCTGGCTTATTTATCTTTTGATGATATCAGTTTTGTTGACCTGTTTCATGCTTTCACTATTGTAATTTGAAAGTTTTATGTGTATCTTTAGATCTTGTAGTGTTTACATTTAAGTGGTATAGTCAAGCCTCTATTTCTGATTTATCAACTTCAGGTAGACTCTCTTTCCACTATGATGAAGTTGAGAACATTAGTACTTAGACTTCCTGTTTTTACTTTCTTCACCTCCAATTTTTTTGGACAGTTGTATAGTCACAGTCTGTTCAAGGATTGCAAGTTCAAAGCCAGTCTCAGCACTAAGCAATTCAACGAGACCCTGTCTCTAAATAAAATACAAAATAGGGCTGTGGATGTAGCCCAGTGGTTGAGTGCCCCTGAGTTTGATCCCTGGTATCCCACTCCAAAAAAAAAAAAAAAAAAAAAAGAATTACACTCTTGCTTAGCTTCAGTTATTCCTTTTAAAGAGGTGCAGAATTGTGAAGAATTTGTCATATACTAATTTAACTCAGATGGATCTATGTATCCCAGAATTTCTTCCTATGTAGCTGTATATCTCCAAGTGATTCTGTTTCTCTGAACTCTGACAATGCTAGAAGTCATTATCCATCCTGCCCATCCTTGAGTGCTATCTCTTCTCCATTTCTGAATTCCTTTATCTCTTGGTTGATTCTTCAAGTTCTCTTTTGATTTGAGCAAATTGCCCTGTATTTCAGCTGAAGTAACATTCTTCATAGTTTGCAGGCTCTGTTTTTCTTTTATTTTGTAGTGCTGGGGATCACAGGAACTAGTACATGCTAGGTAGGTGTTCTGCAACTGAGCTATATCCCCAGCCCTTGGTCATTTTCTGCGTCAGTAAAAACAAAGCTTTCTTCTGTGTTTTGTTTTTTAAATTTTAACCATTTGTGTTGTTTCAGTTGGTCTTAAAGAAATAATTATAAATTATTTTATTGTACTACTACTTTTAAGGAAGCCTTATAAGCTGAGTTTATTAACCAAAAGATGTAATTTTTGATGTCAGTACTTTCAATAAAACCACTAACCATAGAAAACTAAAACAAAAACCACAGATGAACGTTAAAAAAAAAAAAGAAGAAGAAAAAGTCGTCTATTACCTGCACAAAATATCCTTAGCTGCTGAACTGGTGATATAAGTTGCAGATGGGTAGTGAACAGATCCACAAATGCTCCAGGATAAATTATGAAGAGAAAAATCCCAAAGCCATTAAACCGAACTTGTTCCCTAAGAAATCACAAGAGAAAAAGGAATTTACTAATACTATTGCATTTGTCAGATTAATAATTTATGTAATTTTAAAAAATCACTCTAATTTCAAATTTTGATTTGAAAACCAAGTCCCTGGAATCTAAAAAACTGTGTTGATACAATATATAATCATGATTTTAGAATAGTGTAGTATATATTTGGCTGTCTAAGAAATTAAGAATTATATAAGACAGATAGCATTCTGATATAGACTAACTACTTCATTATGCTGAATAATAATTGAAATTAGACATATATATATAAACAGATGGTTATTGCTGAGAAATTAAATGATAATAATTTTTATGATTTTATATGAACTATTTTTAGAGAAAGACACAGAAGAATATATAATTCAAGTAAATTATCAAATAATTCTAATTATCTTAGCTATTACAAATAGCAGGGGAGATTTATTCCTATTGAGGTAATGTTAAATATTTTTGAAAATATATAATGCTCAGATTGTCCTTAAGAGAACTATTTTTATCACTTCATTTTCTAAAATAAGCATTATACTAATAGTCTCATAAGACCAAACAGCTACTCTAAAAGAAAAGCAGCACCCTAATATATTGTACTGTCAATATTAAATATATAAGACAATACAATTTACTTTTTTGGCAATTGAGATTTTATTAAAAAATTAATTACCCAAGTTATACTATTAAGTTGTTAATAACAACACCTCTATATGTAAACCCTAAAAGACTGCAACATAAAAGCAAAGGTGAAAGTTAAAATAAAAGTTAATTGCCCTTTAAATCACTACCATGCACATCTGTGCAACAGTGTATGTTCTGTCAAGATGAGGATTTATTGCCAACAGACTCTAGTTCATAAGCAACTGGACAATAAGAAGCAATCAAGTTATTTCCTTTAAATAGTAGTTTGCCTTTTCTCTCGGCTACATACTCAAAAGGATGAAACACATTCCTGTGAGCATGCTTGGTTATGGCAGTAATTATCAGCAGGGTGACAAGGAAGTTGTGATGTACCTTCTTTCCACTATAATTTTTGTTGTTTTTGGCACAAGGATTGAACCTAGAGCTAATCACTAGGCTTAATTATTAAGCCGCATTCCCAGCCCTTTTTTTTAATTTTTTATTTAGAAACAAGGTCTTGCTAAGTTGCTGAGGTGGCTTTGAACTTGTGATCTGAACTGCTGGGTTTACAAGTGTGCAACATCATGCCTGGCTCCATCGTGATTTTATAATTTTAGTAGGCTTTTAATTACTCAGGTATAATTAGAATGATTATACTTGGGTATTAAAGACCACCAAGACACGATTCTCAAAGGAAGTCCTAGGTTTCATCCTCTTCTTATCTTCCACTTGAGTTTCTAGATAGGCTATGATATTTGTTAAATCAGCATTTTTAGTTTTCTTACTCTAGCCAATACTGCACATGACCAGATACAGGAAATTATTTCAGCTAATAAGCCAAAGAAAGTACCAAGGTGGGGGCTGGGGTTGTAGCTCAATGGTAGAGTTCTTGCCTAGCATGTTTGAGGCACTGGGTTTGATTCTCAGTACCACATATGAATAAATAAAGGTCCATTGACAACTTAAAAAAAAAGAAAGCAGCAAGGTGTGTGGGGGAGATTGAATGCAATGGTTATGATTCTAACCCAATGACAAATAGAAACATTAGCTTTCAAGATGGGATGAAAAACCTTGAAGCACCATGAAGCCACAACCATGCCAGCAAAAGGCAGAAAGACACAAATTATAGATATGCACATTCATCAATATATTAATCTTTTCTAGAAAAAAGAAGCTACCTCAAAGTAATACATGAGGGAAATGCACTGGGCAATTTCCAGAGAAAGACTAATAGTTATTAAATACAACAGATTTTAGTAACTAACCCTCCTAAATGAAAAGCTTTTTTGCATGTAGTAGAAAAGAACAAAGATAAATATCATTACCTAATAGCTGCTATTCCATGTCCAATTTCATGTACAACACCACTAATGAGAACTGCAGCGAAGAAATAGGTCAGTTGATTGACAGGTAAATTTATTCCAGGAACCTGTTTATAGACACAACATGGCAGTAACTGTCAGCTGGAGGTGCAAGGGAGCTTGGCCACCAAGAGATAATGATATTCACTGTGTATTAAAGCTTAGACATCCAAACTGCATGTTATGTACACTAAAGATAACATGAACATTAATGATTCACTTATCTATACCATAATTAAAAGCAGAAACACAGTCAGTTTCTGAATTGGCAGTTTGTCTGGAACAAGCACAGCACCAATACAAAGTGAAAAGGAGACACTAGGTTAAAAAGTTGGAATTTTATTGGGGCTGGGATATAGCTCAGTTGGTAGAGTGCTTGCCTTGCATGCACACAGGCCCTGGGTTCAATCCCCAGCATCATACACACACACACACACACACAAAAAAAAAAAAAAAAAAAAAGTTGCAACTTCAGCTTCCTGAAGTGTTCACCATGAGAGAGCCCAGCATAGTGGCAGGGAGTATAGAGTGACAGTGAAGGAGGCAGCAGTTGATCCATCCTCAAAGGCTGGATACTTGATTTGAGGATATTTGTTAAAATTTATAGTCCTTAAAAAATTATAAATCCTTCCTCTGAATTGTTACTGTATGGTTTTAAGTACTTATGTGGAGTGATTCAGAACACCTGCCCATGCCCCAAATTAGTGAGTTTCATTTTAATATTCTTAAATTATAGGACAGCTGATAATGAAAGCTAGTGTAATAAAACATCTGATCAGTGTGGGAAAACAATGCCCTTCATTGCTTCTATTCAGTTTGTCAATTATATTGGTCAGAAAATAGTACCAAAAAGATACACACACACACACACACACACACACACACACACACACACACACACATATATATATATATATATATAATTAAAAAAATATATTTTATTAATTGTTCATGGACCTTTATTTTATTTACTTATTTATATATGCTGCTGCAAATCAAACCCAGTGTCTCACACATGCTAGACAAGTGTTCTACCACTGAGCCACAACCCCAGCCCTATAAATTGAAATTTAATGCAGAAATTAAGACACTTGGAACACAGCTACATTATGGACACAAGGAGCAGGAGTTGTCTTGCAATCATGTGCCCCTAAAATGTTGTGCATATAAATATTGATACATATATAAAGGAAGTTTGCTATTATAAGAGCTGGATATTATAACATTCTTTTAGTTAGTCCACAGTCTTCTCATAAGGTAAATGATCACTCCCAACTTACACCATGTTTTAGGGAGAGATTATCTAATTTCCATAATGAGCACCTATTTCTCACAGTATAAGAGTTGTGACCCAAATGTTATCTTTCTGGAGAAAATACCATCTTTCATTCATTATTATTATTTTATTAATTGAGAATGTTTAAAGAAGAAAAACTGGAAAACTTAAAGAAAAATTGAAGTGTATAACCCTGCTGGCCAAATACAGAAAAAAAATTTTTTAAAG